GGGGGGGGGGTGGCCGCTGCCCGCGGGAGAGCAGCAGGGACACACTCCCCACTTAGCCAGCTCCCTGCCCCGCCACACCCAGCAGCAGAACAACAGGCTGGTTACTGCCCCCTGGGGCAGTCAGGATCCAGCCCAGGACGCTGCTTGAGGTTTGAGCTGGGGCCCCAGCATTATGCCACCTCATATATTTTGCCGCCCCAAGCACCTGCTTGTTTAGCCGGTGCCTAGAGCCGCCCCAGTAGTCAGGCAGCTTTCCTCCTACCTATCAACCTGAGCAACGCTGTCTCTTGACCATTTCTAAAAGGGCTGGAACTAGTCTTATTCTGACAACAGCTCTTTCAGCTACACTCCTGAAATCACTGGGGAGATCACTACACCCCTGTGCAGTAGGTAAATGGTGAATACTACGGAAATCCCTTCACCCACGACAGCAGAAGTCTGATGCTGTAAGCACAACACTGAAACCTTACTACATGATCAAGCCAAAGGAGGAACTTGGCTGTCAGAAGAAGGATCTTGTTCCTATAAATAAATACAAGCAAAGTGAACGAAACAGAGAACAAGTCTAAGTAAATTTTTTTTGTTGAATAGTTTCTCTGTCCCGTTTTTTCCCCATGCGAAAGTCCTTTTTATGTAATACAGTGGTTGAATGACAATTATTGTAAACTGTAAATCTGCTTATCCCTCTGAACTGAGTTGTCTCAATGTGCATTTAATAATCTAATTCATCTTTAATTAATACAGCAATACCATGTGACACAGATGAATTATCTTCCATTTTCTGATTGCCCTTGAATATTGCCTTGAATCTGCAGCACTACTGATGAGAGAAAGGTGAATAAGGTTGAGTGTCTGTGCATTGATTTGTAGGTTCTGGGACTGTCACCGGCGTGGCTCCAGTAGTGCCCCAGGGATCGAGAGCAATCAACAACACCATGGCTGAGACCAAGCTGAAACGCATGAGAGAGTAAGTAGCATATATATATATATATATATATGAAAGCAATACTTAGACCAAGTTGACCGTTTTGAATGACAACAGGACAAAGCAAAAAAAACGAGAGATAAGAAAAGAGAGATTGTGAAATGGATCCCAGAATGTTCATTACAACGGAACGCTCGTCTGCACCAGTTGTGAGGGAAGGATTAACCGTTGCTTCTGAACAGTTCCCCGGTAGTTGGCACAATCACTGTCAGCCTTTCCAGGACCGTACTTTGTCTTCATTGCTTTCTGTGTTGTTCTGAACTTCCCCTTTTTTATCATCTGAACACAAACCCCATAAATCAGTGGCAGATGTTCATGTTCATATCGTATTCCTTCCCTCACCTGCCCTTTGGCCTTTATTCCGTCATTCCTGCAAAAGATTTTTTCCTATGATCTTGTACCAATTAAATAAGAATATTATTGCTGTAAGCTGGGATTTTCAAAGAAGACTAAGGAAGATAGGCATCAAACTCCCATTGAAACTCCATTAGGCTCCTTTGAAAATGGCTCCTTTGAAAATCTCAGCTATAATAAATAATTATTTTACTTCCTTAATAGAACAGATATCTGTAGCTTCCCTTCTAATTATATATATTAGTTAATACAGCTTATGCCTATTACAGTAATTACAGAGTATTATTATAGTAACCATGTCAGATTTACTGTACTTCTATCTAGATACTGACCTATTAGTAATGATGCTCTATCAGAACTGAAGTACAGTGTTACAACGTTTCAGCTGATCTTAAATTGTGAGTTCTTCCAGACTAGGACAGTGTTTTCCTGTGTGTGTGTGTGTGTGGACAGTGCCTAGCACATTCTGGGTGTTACCAGAATACAAATAATAAATACAAATTATTAGTGATATTAGTTATTTAATTGAAACCTCTACAGAAAAAGAACCCAACATTATAACATTGATGCACTACTTAAAACACTGTGCTACATTAAAACGCCCAAGAGAAGTAGGTACCAAATACTCTCTTACTGATGGTCACCCTGAACCAGCTGAGGCCATCCTGTTTTACAGCAGTCCTAAATGTACCATCTCCCTAGGATTTCACTTCCTGGATTGGCCATAGTACTGAGGTCACTCAACATTGGCCAATCTGATTCTTGTCAGTACCACTTTCGTGGAGAGCACTTTTGAGAGTGACACATGCATCATGTGCCCAGTGGTTCAGAGGTGAGTTTGGTTAGACAAAATACCCAATAACCTCGCAGACTTCACCCTGCAGGCAAATGGAATTACAGGATAAATCTGCGCTATTAAAGATATCTTGATATGTCTTTAGATGTCTTTCATTTCTAGCTGAAAAAAATAGAGCTCTGCCAAATTACTCTCTGTGCAGGATACCAGACAAAACTTACACTTGTAGACCATATTTTCATTATCTGTGCCCTTGAAGATGTTGCTGCTTGCTGGGTTAAGCTTTTGGACCATGGTCTTGCTAAGCTATTTAAAAATAAAGTTATATTTTCCAACAAACAGTATTTGTCAGTTTCCAAGGGGTGCTGAGTCAGACCATGTGTAATGTAAAATATTTCTTGGCACCCAGAAACTTGTAGGATGGGCTCCTTGTGTAAGTTAAAAATTGAGAAAGAAATGTTAAGAGAGTGCTATGCTATACTAGCTTGAAAACAACATGGCCCCAAAATATTTTAATAAACACACTCATTTTGGTGAAAACCCTCGTTTAACATATTGAGAATGATGGTTTTTTACACTGTGGCCCCTTTACGCTGCCAGAGAAGCATAAAGGGGCCTTTTTGTAAATTAAAATCAGAACCTATTTTTATAAGTCAAAGTAACCACTTAATTATGTAAGCATGTAAAGGACTTGTCTGTGGTTACAGCGTTCTAGGCCCCTTGCCCATTGTACGCTGTGCACCATGCCACTGTCTGAACATGCAAAGGTGAGACAGTGTGTTAATTGCAAGAAAATGGGGATGGAAGTGCAGGTGGAAGGAAAAGGCTGATAAGCAGCACACATGCAAATACACACACGGGGATCACAGCAACCTCCTTTGTGTGAACAATGCATGCTTAGAGTATTGTAGGTGGGGTAATACAAAACAGGTTGGGTGAATAGGTGTATGTGTCTGGCCAGAAGGGGACCATCAAGTATCAGCTGTTCTGTTCTCCCCTAAAAAAAAAACCCAGCGTATAATGCACTGCAAATCTGTGCAAGACAATGCTTAGAGCAAGATTAATATAATTCAGAGTTGTGGTGTTCAGTTTCACTCAGGAAATTGCAACTTTCAAACCTTACTGTAGGGCCTTCCAGTTGACAGGCTCCAATAAAAGAGAGAGATTGTATATTTTGTTATCATAAAAACTCAGTCGATCAAGAGTCCTCTTTGGGGCATAGAAAGTAAGATCAATAAGGATGGAATATAAGTGTGGTGGAATCCTTGTAACTGGTACATTTTTTTATGGAACCAGAAGCCTGCCAATTAATGATTCTTCCCGTTATCTGATGCTTGTAGGAATACTTTGTGCTGAGAGATACTCTTTTATTTTATGAATTGCTTTAAAGGTAAGCATTGTACACGACAAACACTACAAATTACATTAATGAAAGAAACTCATTTAGTCAACAGAGGGTGAAACTGCAAAAAGCGTGTGGTAGCAAATGTTAATTGACCTCTGTAAATAATGTGAATGGGCTTGCAGACAACATCAGGCAGGACAGTCAATCGAATAGATGTCATGTATTCATTGTTTGGAGTCATTACAAAGTATTGCAGTGACTCCGTTCCCTGGCAGTGCATAGACATGCTGTTTATCAGGGTACTAATATAAGCAGATTTGGCTATATCGGTGCACAGGGATTTTTGTAGTGTATTCATATTAGAGGATGCCTGGAGATGGTGCTAAAAGAACATCTCAGTCTTTACAGTAACAGAGGGTCCTGTGGCGCCTTTAAGACTAACAGAAGTATTGGGAGCATAAGCTTTCTTCAGATGCAAGAAGTGAGGTTCTTACCCACGAAAGCTTATGCTCCCAATACTTCTGTTAATCTTAAAGGTGCCACAGGACCCTCTGTTACTTTTTACAGATTCAGACTAACACGGCTACCCCTCTGATACTCAGTCTTTAGAGGAATGTAGAATGAAGTCACTGAGCTTTTTGAATATAATAACTCAGATACCCAACCACAGTTTGCCATATTTAGGGAAACTAATTTTCCTTCTCTGAGTGATTATCTACATGGATTCAACTTCACGGTGCGCATGCATCCCAGACACTGAAGACTGGGATCTTTTGGTCAGCAGTGTCTTTTGAGGCCATACCTGCACCTTCAATGGTCCTGCATCACCCCTCGAAAGGACTCAAAGGACAGAGTGGAGCTAACTGTCCCTTAGTTCCGACAGAACTGAGAGAGCCATGTCACTGTCTCTTGCATTTGTGCTCATTAAAATGAATTTGTTCATATATAGTCACCCTAGTAGTGTTCCTAGTTAGTTAGGAAAATAGTTTTATTAGGTTTTAGTTTAAGTGAACTTTTTTCCTAGTGTTTGTTTACCTGGTAGTGGGTGGGCAGCTTCATGGTTCAATGAAAATCCCCTGGGTCTCAGTGTTGTTCATCTTGTGAGGCAGCGGTACCCCTCAATGATAGACACTCAAAATGTTTGTTTGGTCTCAGTGAGGGGCATATCACTGAGAAAGGTTCTGTTTGTCATTCATTCTCCAAACAAACTTGATTAGTGAGGGATTCTCTCTTTTTTTGGACAAATCAATGAGATCTGCTTCAGATCCCAGCTAACAAACCCCTTCTGGCTCTGAGTATCCTCCACTGAAAGTGCCCCAGCAGTCACTGGCTCTGGGCTAACCTCCAGGGCTCCTGTTTCTTCACTGAAGCATTCCTCAGATGCTCCTCCTATCAAGTCTTCGGGCTTATCATCACTACCAGGGTAAGTCAACCTAAGTTACCCCACTCCAGCTATGTGAATAACGTAGCTGGAGTTGACGTAGCTTATGTTGATTTACCCCGATGTCTTCACTGCGCTGCGTTGATGGGAGATCCTCTCTGGTCAACTTACCTTGCTCTTCTCAGAGAGGTGGAGTACCGGGGTCGACCAGAGAGTGCTCTGCTGTCAATTTAGCAAATCTTCATTAAACCCGCTAAATCGACATCCACTGCATTGATTGCAGCAGAGTTGATCTCCCCCATAGTGAAGATAAGCCCTTCCTCTGCTGCCAAAAGTAGTAGGACGCAGCACTGTTCCTCTAAGGAGAACATGCAGAGCTGTCCCTAGGGTATGGCAATTTGGGGTGACCTTCGTGAGGAGGCGGGTGGGGAGGTGAAGTGGGAGGCGGGCAGGTGGGGAGGGTGAGGAGGAACCCCCCTACCATCCTCCCCCCCCCCAAATGCCTGCTGGCGGGCCCTGCCAATCAGCGCCTCCTCCTCCCTCCCCACGCATACTGGCAATCATCTGTTTTGCCGCGACTGGAGGTGCTGGGGGCGAGGGGAGAGGAGTGAGGGCACAGCACACTCAAGGGAGGGAGCGGAACTGGGCGGGGAAGAGGTGGGGCGGATCCTGAGCAGAGCTGGCAGGGAGCACCCCCCGGCAGATAGAAAGTCAGTGCCTATGTCCCAGGCCCTGCACCCCTCTAGGGATGGCACTGAGCACAGGTGCTGGTCTCCATTCCAGGGACCTAGCAAAAGAAAGAGGAAAACATCTCTTCTTCCCACTTTAAATAAAGGTAGCTTAAGGCCTGACCTAAGCCCCTTTGGCACCCATAGTGATGCCAATCCCATGCTTCAGTACCGTCTAAACATCAGTCACAAGCTGCTTTTGGTACAGTCTGGACTGCCTCTGAGCTCTCAGTACTGGCAGTGGGATACCAATTTTTTGGTATTGGCCGCATCGGCACCTTTTCCAATATGTTACTCTTGATACCAACAACTTTGGCACAGAAGTTTACAGCACTGGGTGGTTTAACTATTTCAGCCCTTCTGGGGTCCCCTTTATTGTTTTCCTTAGTGAAGATATCTTCGGTGGGGGTGGAGGTGAAGGGGGAACAATTAACAAAATGTTTTGTCCTGAGATGTTCCACAGTAGTTCATCTGGTGTTGAGACGTGCAAGGGAATTCCTCCCAACAGCTGAATTTGCAATTCAAAGCAGAAGGAGGAAAGGATTAAAAAGTCCTAAGAAGGAGGAACTGTATCTTTTATGCTGGTTGGACTCTGAGGGAGCAAAGATTACTAAGCACAAGCAAAAGATCCTCAGTGCTTGCCAGGATTAGCCCTAAAGGACACATAAAACTTGCTTATTATAGAACTGGGGTGGGCAAACTACAGCCTGGGGGCCACATCCGGCCCTTCAGACGTTTTAATCCGGCCATCGAGCTCCAGCCGGGGCGTGGGGTCTGGGTCTTTCCCTGCTCCATGCATGCCATGGATGGGAACCGCGGCCAATGGGAGCTGCAGAGGTGGCACCTGCAGACGGGGTAGCATGCAAAGCCGCCTGGCCGCGCCTCCGCGTAGGAGCTGGACGGGGGACATGCTGCTGTTTCTGGGAGCTGCTTAAGGTAAGCGCTGCCCAGAGCCTGCACCCCTCCTCTCTCACATGTCCTTGCCCCAGCCCTGATCCCCCTCCCACCCTCCGAACCCCTCGGTCCCAGCCCGGAGCACCCTCCTGCACCCCCAATCCTTCATCCCCAGGCCTCCACCAGAGCCAGCACCCCCAGCCAGAGCCTTCACCCACTCCTGCACTCCAACCCCCAATTTCGTGAGCATTCATGGCCCGGCATATCATTTCCATACCCAGATGTGGCCCTCAAGCCAAAAAGTTTGCCCACCCCTGTTATAGAAGCTTCTATTAGTTTTAGAAAATTAAAATTGGAACTCATTTGTGTGTATGTGTTTACTTGCATTAACCTTGTAAATGGCTCTCTTATTTCCTTTTCCTAGTTAATAAATCTTTTGATAGTTTATTATTAGATTAGCTACAAGTGTTGTCCTTGGCGTGAGATTTAATGTGAAATTGACCTGGGATAAGTGACTAGTCTTTTGGGACTGGGAATAACCTGAATATTATTGTGATTTTTGGTGTAAGGGACCATCTGTCACATAGGCAAGCTTACCTGGGTGGCAACACAGACCGGAGTACACAAGAGGACTGTCTGTGACTCCATGTTAAGGCTGTTATAGTGCTTGAGGAATTTACACTTGATACTTGGTTGTTGAAATCTAAGTATAGAACACACAACCAATTTGGATTTTGTGCCCTGCTTCTTAACAGTCTGCCCTGAAGTTGGTACCCATGCTCTTGAACTACTACAGGACACCTTGACAATCAGCCATACCAAAGACCCTCCAAACTGCCTAGAGAGAAACAGAAGTTTCATTGGAGAAGGCCTTCTTCTTCTTCTACTGCAACTTCAATAAGGCAGACACCAGCTTCAAAACAGTTTGGTGGTTGTGTTGAGAGTTGTTGGGAACCCCATTAGGAGATCAGTCGATTTATTTTGGAGGAGCTTGGAACAGCATTACCACTGACCAGTGGGTCCTCAAGAACACTGAAACAGGCTATTCAATTCAGTTTCAAGCAATTCCTACTCATCACCTACATTTTCCATCCTTTTTCAGGGACTATCTTCTTGAGAGACTGTTGCAACAAAAGGTGGAACCCCTCCTCACTCTTCAAGCAATAGAAGAAGTTCCTCATCTGGTCAGTGGGAAGGGGTTTTATTTCCTTTTCTTTCCAAATAGAATAGGATGCTCGTGCCCTGTTCTGGACAGCAGAGAACTCAACATCATTGTTCACCAGTTCAAGTTCAGAATTGTGAGCCTGGCCTCAGTACTCCCTATCTTAGATCCTCAAGACTGGCTTGCAGCTCTCCACCTCCAGGATGCGTATTTCAGTGTATTAATCCATCCTGCTCACAGAAGATACTTAAGATGTGCAGAGGGGACTTCACACTCCCTGTCCAGAGTACTGTCAACAGCCCCAAGAGTTTTCACAAAAGATCTGCCTGTCATAGCAGCTCATTTTAGGAAACAAGGCATTCTGGTTTGTCCCTTGATGACTGGCTGATTTGGGGACGCTCTCCTCAGCAAGTCATAGGCAGCAAGCATTGGCACTCCAGCTCTTCCCCACTCCAGGGCTCCCAATCAACAGACATCCTCACTCCTGCCGATGCAAAAAATAGACTTTGCAGGAGCACTTCCAGACTCTGCAACAGCGAGAGGATCTTTACCCTGAAGCAGGTTTGCCCCATTGTCAGACCTCATAAATCAGTTAGCCAAATCCACTGACAACAGTCAGGACTTGTCTAGGAATGTTAGGCTGCGTGACCTTGTGCCTGTGTGAGACTCAGTAGGTTAGACTTCACCATCATTGTTTTTTTGAAAGGGTGGTTGAAGTCCACTTACCACCCAAGCAGACATGACATAGACATGGCGGTTCAAGTACCTCAAGGAGTCCTATTATTATTAAATTGGTGACATTTTCAAGGTGGTTCCTTTTTTTCCATCTCTACCAACAAAGATTTTGCCCAAAGTCCTCTCAGAGTTTCATCTGAGCCAAAGGATATATTTACCAATGTGCCTCATAAGCAATATTCTACCCAAGGTAGGGGGGTGTCTAGGCGTCACACATTAGATGTCCCTAGAGTCCTGTCTTTTTATTTGAATAGAACTAACTCCTTTAGGATCTCACTAAAGTTATTTCTTGTTTTTGCTGAAAGAATGAAGGGACAAGCTACATTGTCCCAAAGACTGTCCAATGGTACCTGTGTCGCTAGACTAGAATCCTCTGCCCAGGCAAGAGCCCACTCTGTCAGAGCACAAGCAGCTTCTGCAGCATTGTTCCCATTGCTGAAATTTGTGAAGCAGCCACCTGAGGTTCAGTACATACATTTACTAAATTCTTTTCTTTGGTCCTGGCATCTAGATCTGCTGCCTGTTCTGGCAGACCTTCTTTTGCAATCTCTGTTTAAGTAGATGCCGAGTGCCTCCTTCTTACATGAGGGCACCTCTTGTGAGTTGCCAAGAGTGGAATACATATGGACAATCACTCGAAGAAGGACCGGTTACTCACATTACAGTAACTATTGTTCTCTGAGATGTGTTCTCTCAGTGTGTTCCACAACCTGCCCTCCTTCCCCACTATTACTGAGCTTGATAGCACTTGCTTTCTCTGTTGGCGAAGGATCTGAGGGCTAGTTGGCCCCTGCTCTGCCCTCTGCTGGGTGGCTGTAAGGGCACTCAGGGCACAGGCATGGCCCCACTGGCCAAAAGATTCTGATCTGGAGTGCATGAGGTGCATGTGCACCAAGAGTGGAACCCATGTGGACAACACATCTCGAAGAACCACAGTTACCATAAAGTGCATAACTGTTCTTTGTTTCATTTTGAAAAAGATAGGTGATGTGTGCTGCCATGTATCTGGAAGGTTTCTGGGGATATTCTTAAGTGCTTCCCAAGATGTGGTGTGATTATATAACCAAGGGAAAGTTACGAAGTTTTTTCAAGACCAGGATAAGAGGTGACTGGATCACTTTCTATATGAACATCCACGGAGAGAAGATTTTTTTGATAGGAAAGGTCTCTTTTATGTAGCAGACAAAGTGGCTAGAAGCTGAAACTAGACAAATTCAGACTGGAAATAAGACACATATTTTTAATAGTGGTGGTAACTAACCATTGGAACAACTTACCTAGGGATGTGGTGGAGTCTCTATCACATGGTGTCTTTGCATCAAGACTGGGTATCTATCTAAAAGATATGCTCTAGGTCAATCAGAATTTATGGGCTTGATGCAGGAGTTGCCAGGTGAGGTTCTAAAGCCTGCGTAATACAAGTCACACTGGATGATCAAAATGGTCTTTTCTAGCCTTAAAATCTATGAATCTATGAATGTCCCATCTTTCTAAGCGGAGGGTAGAGTCTTTAAATCCTAATCCTGTACCTGACTAATCTGGAGCATTAAGGCCAAAAGTAATTTTAAAGCTATGGTGCTGGTGTGTAATGGTGGATAAAGCAGTGGAGATCCCATGCAGAAGAACTGTAATTCCCTATGTGCCACAGAGAAGATCTCCATACAAGGGTTCATGTCTCATTGTGGAAGGGAATAATGTAGGTGGACAAGGAACAAGACAGCTATTGGCAGCAAAAGCCTTTTTTGGGGGTGAGGTGAAGTTGGTCACATTCACTATTCCAACTCTTAGAGGGTTATAGCATTTGCAGCCCATCTGTGCCAAAGAACAAGGATTTTGTTCCCCTGAAGCCTTCCCAGTATTATGTGCAGGACTCTCTTTCTTGGGCTTTGCTTGCAGGATCGGGATTTGGGCCTTATTGAATATGGCTGGCTTTAGAATAACAGAATATATACAAAATAGAATGCATATCTTTTTCTTTTGATCCTGAAAATATCAAAAGGAATAAAAACATTAAAAGGGAGAAAGGACTATAAATGCAGTGTTTCATGCTCCTTTACAAAGGTATCCATGAACACATACAATGACTCAGTTGAATAGATGTGCAGGTAAGAATTCAATAAAATGTATATGGGTAAAAAGAAAGGGCTTTTATGCCCCAAATTTTAAGAAAATTAAGATCCTAGAGCACAGCAGTAAATGCCTCTTATTCAGTTCCCAAAGTCTTGCACACAGCAGCATACCATGATCAGGCAAAAGACTTCATCATCACCTGCTGAGTGTAAGTAAAATTGTCTTTCAGGCGCTGCAGAGAAAAGCATTTGGTGATATTTTTGTTCTGGTCTTGTGATTGCTCCTGGCACTGTTGGTTTAGATTCATGAATAGTAAGTATATGTGCTGTTTGTGTTTGTGATGTTGGCATCGAATGTGTTATTTCTCTTAAAAATTCAGAAAGAAAGGTCAAGTGGCATAAATGAATGAGCACCATATAGTCTTTAAGATTAGCGTCTCAGATTACGCCTAAACTAAGGAACAGGTTTTCTAAATTGTTTGTGCATGTTTCCAAAGGATTGGGGTAAGGAGTCTAGTAGGTTTGACTTTTTTTTTTAACAGCAGTTGGGTGGATTTTCAAAGGTGCTTGTCATTGGCCTAATGTTGCTGTCATTGGTGTTTTACCATTGACATTAATGAGAATAGCATTAAGCCAATGCTCCCAATAGAAAAGTGTCCATGTTCAAAAAAATAGCACTATGTTTGGTGCTTGCTGGCACTCACTTTAGAGGTTGATATTTGAATGGACACTAATTACTGGAGAGGAAATACACCCTGTCACTGCCTGAGCCATAACTGATTTTTGCATCTGAATAGAGGACATCATTCTGCAGTGCTAGTAGTCCAGGAACTTTCATGGGCACTAAATTCTCTCTCAAATGTACATTTAGCACTTCTGTATTTTAGTTCAGCACTTTACCTATATTTTAAAGTAATAATTTCTGCATTATGACAAAAGAAGCTTTTAAAATATAGTTAACTTTTTTTTTGTTTTGCTTCCAGTGGTCTAATCTTACGAGTCATTTACATATACATCCTCTCAGTCGCACACGGACTGAGGGCTTGTCTTCATGAACAATTAGGTCCTGACAAGCTGGGGTGGGAATCTATCCTGCACTAGCTCTAACTGTCCATGTGGATCCTTTTGATGTATATTAACAGTTTGTTAATGCACTATGATCTAGTCCCATTTCAAAGAGGACCAGATCAGAGTGCATTCATTAACTATTAAAGTGCCTCCACTTGTTCCACGTGGACAGGTGGACAAGCCCAAAGTCTCTCTCGCACATAGTTTAAAGATGCACTTCTTTTTCTGTTAATTATGTAGGCTCTTAGTCAACAAACCAGGGAAACATAAGCCTCACTTTAAGCACATTACCATCAGTGGGACTGCTCACGTACTTAAAGTTAAACACATACTTAATTTTGTGCCTTAGATATTTTAATTTTGCTGGTTGCTTTATAAAAAGATAGGGCAAGATTGTAGGTTGGACTGCATGCCTGATCAGGAGCATAAGAGGGAGAAAGAACTCCCCTTACACAGGTTACCCAGACCCAGGGTTCTGGCATGTGGGAGTGAGTTGGTGCTGCAGGCCTGGTACTCCATCCTGTCTCAGAGCAGGTGGGTGGAGAAGGACAGGGAGTGGAACCTTGGCTCTATCCCACCCCTACTGTGTCAGCCGCAGAGCTGAGCTGGTAAAGAAGAAATTCTGTAGGCCAGGTGACTAATAAATGGTTCCCTTCTTCTGAAACAGCTGCCTGTGTTGTTGTAAACACTCATTGAGAGCATTGCAGCCTGAAAGGGTACAGTAAAACAGGACTCTGGCTTGGCTAGATTCGCTGCAGGTAGCCACGGAGTGCGACAGTATTCGCTGGTGCCAAAGCCCCCATCTCAGTCTTGGGGTATGTCTACACTGTGACCCCCCCCCCCGCTCCCCCATGGCACTGAATCTCAGCACCCAGGGCAGCTGACTCAGGTTTGCAAGGCTCTGGCTGGGGGATTAAAAATTGTAGTGTAGAATTCAGGCTCTCGGAGCTTGGGCTCTGAGACCTTGTGATGGGGAGGGTCTCAGAGCCCAGGCTCCAGCCTGAGCATCGACACTGCAATTTTATAGCCCTACAACCCGAGCCTCACAAGCCACCGGTCTTTTATCACAGTGTAGATGTATCCTTGGAAGCCACGGGCCTGCCCCCATAGAGCTAAGTGGTTCCTTAGGGCACAGCACGCTAAGGGGTCACTCCCAAGAGACTGGTTACAAGCTGAGTCACAGACCAGACCTGATGACAAGCCCCTATACAAGAAATACATCAAAATGCTTGATTAATTCCAGTTTTCTCTAGAAGGAAATGCATTACCAGAGACTTCCCCATTTCCATTGAATACATGCAGAGTCACACACAGAGCGACGGAAACAGAATTAATGCACCTCAGGATTCACATTTACAGGTATAATTTTTATCTGCTCAACAGGAAAAACAGTCTATATTTTGAGTTTGAAATTATGTCATCTTTAAAAATGTGAAGACTATTCCTTCTGTGCACCCAAATAATGCAGAGGGATGCCTTTCATTTAGCTTGTTTTTCAGCTTTATGGCATCTGCCACTGGTATAAATAGGAACCCATAAATAGTACCAGACATGTAGTTTGTGATCTTTTGTTTATTTAGCAGGAAGCATTGGCAAATACTGAAAAAACTGAATGAGTTTAATAAGGGATGGAACTGATCTGCAGTTTTAATTATTATACTGTGTTCAAAGTAATAAAGCATGGTAGATTGAGGTGTTCTCATGTAAATTCACTTAACGAGCTACCCGTTTCTGTACACAAGCAGGACAAGTTTCTGTCTTTTTTGGTTATGTGAATATGATGTTCCCGGATGGTTCCAGAAGGATGATTTTGGAAAATGAAATCACTTATCTTTGTACCAAATACAAATCTACTCCAGAGCCCAGTGCACTCAATGGAAATACTCCCATTCACTTCAGTGGAGTTTTGATCGGGCACATAATATGGGCCGTAGTATTTGAAGCATTCCTGAACTGCTGCCCCAATATATATCACTCAGCTCTATAGGCTAAGTGAATTGGTCGTCCTTTTGCTAGTCCTTAGTACAAAGGGTACCAGCACAATGGGTACTAATTAGCCCCCTTGCTTGCTCTCTCAGGAGAGGTGCCAAAGAATAAAGCCCCAGTTCAGCAAAGCATTTAAGCATGTTCATAGCTTGATGCACAGGAGTGGTCCCCTTGTCTTGAGTCAGACTACTCATGCTTAAAGCTAGCTACAGATATGCTTAAGTCCGTTGCTGAACCAGCCACTAAATGTGCACAGCGATTGAACTTGCACTCTCACTTGTAGGGACCATTCTTGCAGGTCATCCTTTTATCTGGAGACTGTCCTCAGGGCAAGGCAGGGAAGCTTACATTGCTCCTTTCTGAGCTATACCTGTGGATAAAGCGAGAACGTCACTTTATAGGGCTATCACTTCCACAGTTTTCGCCAGCACTAAATTCATGATGAGTAAATTTAAAATAAGTGAAGATGGCAATCAGAGTAGGCAGAGGCACACAAGTTCTAGAGATCCTACTAACCACAGTGCCAAAAACCACTATTAAGCCTTAGTACATTTTCTTGGGGAAATAAAATGAGCTAAATGAGTCCGGGGACTCTTAACAAGAAACACATTCTAACCTCTAAAAGAAAGCAATAAGTGTGTGTGTGTGTGTGTGTGTGTGTGTGTGTGTGTGTGTGTGTGTGTGTGTGTGTGTGTGTAGTAAA